TGGTAATCTGTGCACATATGTGAAAATGGCATATTAACTCCCAGTAAGTCTCATAAATTCTGGGAGCGACCTTTCTTAAAATACTCGGTTCCTCGGCCCCTAGGATGAATTCCTCATAAGATAATTCCCCGAATGATAACCCCGAAACTTCGAACATCTCGTGGAGAGCAAAGCCTAACTCCCTAACTAGTGTGAAAAATGTGCTGGTGTCTGGGTTGTAGAACTCTAACATCACAAATATGCCGTTGTAATTCTGACTGATCCCGTATTGGGAGGCCGATATCGGGGTTCTAAGACCAGAAACTTCAAGTGGCCCTCTCAACTCCTCTATGATGAAGTTAATCATACGGGTCCACTATCCTACCTTGGTATAGTGCACCCACCCCGGAGCTCTAAAGTCCTTTGTGGGTAATTCTCCCCTCAATGATATAAATTTCTGGACGAATGTATTTGTCAGTTTAGTAGTTTCACCAACTGGATGTTCTTTCTTTACTGAACCAGGCCTCAAAGCCAATATTTGTCTATTAAAACCAGATAGATGAACACCGTGATGGGTAAGGTGTCCAATAGCAACTCCACCATGTTCCCGGACAAGCTCCTAATCCATGGATCTTGGGACAGAAGCACACTGGTAATAAGAGACCGGGAATATCAGTCCCATGTTCGGTAGAAAGAGGAAGCGACCATTGATGTTTCGCAGCCACTTGTAGTTTCCTTCATACATCCGTGCAACATCCATGACAGAATCTCCAAATAAGAACGCAATGCTTCTTTAAAACTTTGCATTCTGCTATCTCAAGTTTCGCGTCTATGGCAAGGGATCTGAGGGTCCTGGGAAAAGCTTGAGTGATGATTTCAGCTCGCTTCTTGTTCTGATCTCTGAATACCGAAAGTTCCAAGTTGGTGCCTGTGCCGCCCTCTAGATTTGTGCACTAGACTGGGTTTTTGGGTTGAGCTGAACTTATGGGAGGAGGGTGACTAGCTACGATACCCTCTAGAACATCATCAATTGATGTGCCAGCTTCAGTTCTCTCTATTGCACTCAAAAGGTCTTTTGTGACGACGTACCATGACACGTTGTCGGCTTTGCTGAAATCGACATGGGCGACTACTTTGAGAGTTGACTTGTCGGTCATTTTTTTATCAGGGTGTAGGATTCCACTCTGGGGTGGGTTGATTTAGGGTTAGGGTTTTAAAATGGGGATGGTCGTTTCGCTTGAACAGAAGAGAGATGGGATGGCACGATCGACGATGAGTAGTATTGAGAAGTGGGAGGCAGTTAAATCAAATGGCATTTTGGGATTTTTTTAAACATTGGGTCATATGGGAATGGGCTTTGGGAGCTTAAGGGATATAATAAATTCTTTTGGGGGCTAGAACAATTTTCTGTAGGGGGATGGCACGATCGACGATGAGTAGTATTGAGAAGTGGGAGGCAGTTAAATCAAATGGTATTTTGGGATTTTTTTTAAACATTGGGTCATATAGGAATGGGCTTTGGGAGCTTAAGGGATATAATAAATTCTTTTGAGGGCTAGAACAATTTTCCCTTTTATTTTTCTGTAGGGGGCTGTTTGGTTTGCTTTAAAACCCCGTGGAAAACTTTTACTTCTCCTCCACGTGGGTTTTTTCTCCTCCACGTTGGATTTTTGGTTTCCGTGGTTTTTTTTCTCAGCTTTGTTTCACTAGGGCTGAAGAGGGAAACGAACTCATAAATTGCCTCCACCTCAGTTTTTTCCTCTCCCCTAATTCCTTCCCCAACCGAGTGAAATTGACGAAAACCCTGGTCATATCAGTTTTTTTCTTCCTCATTGATTTCTTCGGTGAGCTAGAGTTACCTCCTTTGCATCGCTCCCGCTAGAAACTCCTGCGGCAGACTTCGTCGGCGACGGCTGTTCAGATCTGAGAACAAGAGCATCATCAATCGTATTCTCGCGAAGCTTATCCTCTTCTTCCCTTCAAGATCCTCAGTCTCAACAGCAGCAGCTGAACCTCTTCTCTGCGATCAATCAAGCCCTCCACATCGCTCTTGACACCGATCCTCGGTATCGAAGTTCATTTCGATCCTCGCTCCTTCTTTTTTTTTTGCAATATTTGATGGATTATTCTACAATTTTCCTTTTTTTTCAAAGGGCTTATGTGTTTGGAGTGGACATCGGATTCGGAGGCGTTTTTCGATGTACGACTGGACTCACCGATCGATTCGGCCGAGATAGAGTTTTTAATACTCCCTTATGTGAACATGTACTCAAAATTAGGAGGGAAAATGAATTTTTTTTGATTTAGCGCTTAATTTGTAACAGTTAGATTTTATGATTTATTGTTTTTTATTCTATTTTTTTGAAGGGAATTGCTGGATTTGCGATTGGTTTGGCTGCAATGGTGATTTTTCTAAATTATATCTATCGGCAGAATTTTTTTACATATATAACCTACAGACATATTCGCAAATTTGCCCTGAAATTTAGATATTGGTTAAGAGTAGTGGTAACTGCTACTCTACTCTTGCCAAACTATTTTCACACAGCAAGCAAATGGATTATTGTTGTCATGCATACGTGATCCTAATCCTGTTTTAAGTTTTGAACCAAAGGTATTGATTTTATATATGCAAAATAACTCACTATTTCCAAATCCTAGGAGCACTTATTGGAGTTCCAACAGATAGTTTGCGTAGATGATTTTTTGATGTTGTATTTTGACAGTATAGAAACTCTGTGGAACAGTGAACATGTTTAATTTTCTTTGACAAAATCATAAGTAGATAATTCACTGTAAACATA